TTCGATCCTCAGCCCCACAAAAAAATAGATATTGTGTCCACCTAAAACTAAAAAGTAAGTATTTTTTTAAAATATTTACGTTTTAGAAGTAGTTGGACACAATATCTTTATTTTGTTTATTTATTTTTATGTGATGCTRAGGACTGAACCCAGGGCCTCACACGTGCTAGATGAGCGCTCTACCACTGAGCCACAATCCCAGCCCTAAAAAATAAATATTAAAAAAAAAAAGAAAAAGAAATTATTAGCAATATTTGGCTAAGAAATAACAGGATGTAAAGGCCACAGATAGTTGGCTGAGAGAAGAGTGAATTCAAGAGAAACTTTCTGGGTTGTAGATGTAGCTCAGTGACAGAGTATCTGCCTCTTTCACAAGACCCTCAGTTTGGGGCTGGGGATGTGGCTCAAGCGGTAGCGCGCTTGCCCGGCATGCGTGCGGCCCGGGTTCGATCCTCAGCACCACATACCAACAAAGATGTTGTGTCCGCCGAGAACTAAAAAATAATAAATATAAAAAAAAAAAATTCTCTCTCTCTCTCTCTCTCTCTCTCCTCTCTCATTCTCTCTTTAAAAAAAAAAAAAAAAAAACAAAAGCAAAAACCCTCAGTTTATCTCCCAGCAGCAAAGCACTCTCCCCCACAAAGAGGAACTTTTAATTAAAGATAGAAATTAAAATTTAGGTCAAGAGATCTAGAAACCCAAGGTGTTGTAATTGAAGAATTATTATCACATAGCCTTGGGAATGGTAATGCATATGAGATACACAGACTGAAAAGAAAATTAAGGACCAGAATGTTGAAAGACATTGTTCAAAAAGTGGGAAAAAGAGGAGGAACCACAGACAACAGACCAAGAAAGAAAAAATGAATGAATAAATAATGAGAATGAAAGAACACACACCAAAAACACAAAGTTGAGGAAACCCAGTGAAGAGAAATCCAATCAGGGGCCTGATTAATAGTATCATTTCTTTCTTTTTTTTTTTTATGTATTTTTTTAGTTGTTGATGGACCTTTTTAAAATTTATTTGTATGTGGTGCTGAGAATGAACCCAGTGGCTCACCACCCATACTAGGCAAGAGCATTACCACTGAGCCACAACCCCAGCCCCAACAGTATCATTTCATTCAAACAAAGTAAGGACAAAAACATCCCCACTCAAAACAAGCAGAATGATGACTCAAGTGAAGTCACTCTATTTAATAATGGGTGAGTCACTAGCATATTACTGTTTGACAAGTAAGTTCAGCCTAGTGCAGATTTCCCTCTCCCCACCAGGGTTTTCTGGTTATTGTCCTGAGCTCTTCACCAATACCCTTGGCAAACTACTACAGGCTCTACCTTGTGGAGGCGTTTGACTAATCCTTCATTATACTCTTGGCTGCCCTCAATCATGCCAGTTAGGGGGTTAGAGAACCATTCCTTGAATTCACGATGAGACTGGAAGACATGGGGCATCAAAAAGTGCATCAAGGACCACAGCTCCATGAGACTATTCTGCAAGGGAGTTCCTGTAAGGAGAAGGCGCCTCTGGCTGCAAAGAGACAAAGGGAATCAGAAGAATGGTCAGCAAGGTTCCAACCTTCTAAGTATCCTTAATATACTCCTCAACCCAGTAGTTCACCCTTCAGGTAAAGCCAATCCTCTCACAACTGCCCATCTCAATCGGTACCTATTAAAATTTAGCAATGACTGCCAGCGTTGGGACTTGAAGTTCTTGATRTTTTGAGCTTCATCCAGAATGAGATAGCGCCAGTTCTTGCGGCGGAAGGCCTGGTGGTCCTGCAGCACCAGCTTGTAAGATGTGATACACACATGGAAGGCATTGGGCTTGGTCCAGCCCTGAGGGACCAAAGAGAGAAAGTAATAGCGTGTGGAATGAAAAGAAAACAAAGAGGACAAAGGGAAGACAAGTTAAGGTCCTCAAGGGATAGAAGTCAGGTTGGAAGAGGATGGAATAACAGGAAGAGGAAAGAGGGACTTTATCTGAGGAAAAGGCCAAAACTGAAGAAAGCATCAATATAAGAAAGTAACCACATGGATGATCGAACCTGCCGCTTAAGCTTCCTCTCTTTCTGGGCTCCATAGTAAGTAAGGATTTTAAAGCTGGGGCACCAACGTTTCAACTCCATCTCCCAGTTCAACATCACGCTGGTAGGAACAATGATTAAGTGGGGACCCCAGTTACCTGTTTAGAAAAAGAATTAAGACATAGTAAGGATAAGTAAGCTTTGCAGTTCTGGTTCCTAAGATATAACCCTGACCACCCTTTCCTAATAGCCCTTCCTAAGAATTCTAGAACCCACACTGTTCTCCCTACAGGGTTATTAACCAGAGTCAAATTAAGTACTTTACTCTCCTGCAGGTCAAGTCACCACCAAATAAACTCTCACTGAGTTGGCCAAGAGGGCCCAGAAAGGGACCTCCCTGCTACTTACCTTTTTCACAGGCCAAGTGGGCAAGCAGGGAGATGGTCTGGATTGTCTTCCCCAGTCCCATCTCATCTGCAAGAATGCCATTAAGCTTCTTCTCATACATAGTAACCAACCAGTCAAGCCCAATGTGTTGGTACTCCCGGAGTTGGCCCCGTAGGAGCAGGGGAATAGGTGTCTTTACCTTACAGAGAGAGAAAATAAAAAAGAATCACCATAGTTGAAGTGAGGAATCTGTCACTGGAAAACCACAGTTAAGATATGAGAAAGCAGAATATGGGTCTGGGGATACCTGGGTAGTGGCCAAGGTGTAACCCTTGGGCTGTAGACTTTCAGCTGCTGCAGCAATGTCAGTAATTTCTTTCTTAGGGCCCAGAGTAGTAGTGGGCCCCGGGGTAGGAGGCCCACTGCCTCCATCTGCCTCACTCTGCTCTTCATCACGGGCAAGCAAGTACTCAACCCCAAAATCATCATCTTCCTCCTCTTCTTGTTCTGTTTGGCTTTGTGATCCAGCATCTTCAGACTCATCAGATTCAGATTCCTCTGATTCTGAACTCCCACCTGTCTCTTCTTCCTCCGAATGCTCATCTTCCTCATCCTCACTCTGCTCCTCAGCAGAGTCTAAATCAAAAGACCAAAGCTTAGTGCTCACCGTAACTGTTCCTCCAACACCTGCCCTCACCAGTTCCTGCCTTATGACCACACCTTTACCTGACTGACTGCTACTATCCTCTTGAGGAGCTTCTTCAGCTTCTGTGGGACCCTCTAGTTCACAATCAGAGCTGTTAGCCTCAACATCCTCATCTTCATCATCTTCTTCACTACTCCCAGAGCCTGCAGCAGAGGCATCAGAGGCATAGGCTCCTGCATACTGCTGCAACAGTTCCTCCATAGATAGCTCACCTGGTGATAAAATAAAGGGTAAGTTCCTGGTTGCTTTGAAAGGAGGGAGAAAAGGTTTAAGAGTTATCAGTTCATTTTATCTAGAATTCTATAACCATTACTAGGCCCAAGTCTAAAGGAAGACAAGGGTGTACTTTCAGTACCAGCTACCAAAGCCAAGTCCAACCTGGGATACAACCACGGTGGTGCTGCCTTCTTCTGAGAAGTATGTTATCTATCTGGTAAACTTCCTTTCAAGATTCAGGTCAAATATTGCCAATATCCTTTATTATGCGGTGCTGAGGATCAAACCCAGTGCCTCATACATGCCAGACAAGTGCACTACCACTGAGCTACATCCCAGCCCCACCAATATCCTCTTAAAGTAGCTCTTCCCTGCACTAAACTCCAATATCAAGCTTCAAATTTCCACTATGAGTATTCAGCACTTTCTACTTCGTTTTTCCTTTATAATTCTACCTTTACCATTAGACCCAGAGTTACACCAGAGAAATAAATATTTTAGGGGGGCTAGAGTGGTGACTCAGTGGTAGAGCATCTATCTAGCATGTGCAAGGCACTGGGTTCAATTCTCAGCACCATATATAAGTAAATAAAATAAAGGTTCAATGACAACTAAAAATTAAAAAAAAAAAAAAGTATCTTATTCATTGCTCTGTTCTAGACCCTCTGCATCAAGTGGATGCTCAGTAAAATATCAAGGGACTATCACCTTCTCGAGCCAACTCGCTCAGTTCCATGGCATGATCCACATCCCCTTCCAACTGCTCCTCAGCTGCTATAGTATCCTCTTCATCCTCCGCTAGGAGACAGAATGAAGCAGGATCAAGAAAGAGACACAAGACAGTTCAAGAGAAAAAATGAAGAAGCCTGAAAGGTTAGGTCCAAACATTATTCAAGGGGTAAGGGGCAAGAGGATTAAGAGAATAGGGCTGACCTTCATCTTCATTGGCAGTAAACTCTTCATCATCTTCATCTGGATGCCAAGGTTGTTTGTTGCGCTGTGTGACAGAGGAAGGTGGGGGCTTCACCTAAATGGATGAAAAGGAGGTTAGAAGAGCAAGAGGAAGGTACAATGTTGAGTAAGACATCACAAAATGATCTCTGTTCCATTGAGTAACACCTGCTACTGCTACAGTACCAGGGGCAAGGACGCAATCAAGGGTTTTCTCTCAGCACCAGCTACCAAATCCTGTCCCCATTGCTGGGGCAGGATCTGTGAAAGTGCTAGGAAATAACAGTCCCCAACAAATGGACATATGGATAAACACAGCACACAGTTCCAGAGAAGACTTCAAGGTGACCATCCCAACACTCAACTTACAAACTAATACAAGGAGTATTATGGTCATTTCACAGAAGTGACAAGGAATAGCCAAAATAAGACCAAACTGCAATTTAGAGTACAGTAAGTAAACTCTTTTCACTATAACAGAAACTGCTAACTGCAGGCTAAAACCCAGATTCTTTCCTAGCCACTCCTAAATTAGAACTCAACTGTCCTTAACCAGGGAGAACTCTCAAAAATACATCCAATATCATAGCCCAGAACTCAAACCTGAAATTCTCCCTGTGCTTCTACTCTGAACCCTCCCCTCCAACTCCTGTTCCCATACCTCCAACACCTGAGAAGGTTCTTCTTCAACACTTTCTTCAGGCCCATCTCGTGTGTCACCATCATGAGAGGAAGGGGTTTGAAAGGGGCTAGAAGGCCCTCCCAACAGTTGAGGGGGGAGAGAACGGAGCAGCTCTTCCAGGGGCAGTTCTCCCTCACGTCGAAGCAGCTCAATCTCACGCCTCTGGGTCTCTGCATCATTGCCTTCCTGTTGTTCTTCAACCTCAATGGTTTCCTCATCATCTTCCTCCTCCTCCTCTTGGGGCTGGAAGTCCCCATCTATAGCAGGAGAACAAGGTCACAAAGTCCACGGGCCCTGCAAGCCACAGGGTGGGTTTTTCAGCTCTGGAAAGGGTATGAGGGGAAGAGTAACAGGGCCAAAGAGAATACACACCTTCATCATCCAGCCGGGAAGCAGCGGGTGGAGGACTGGAAGCAGCTGAGGAAGAGCCAAGGCAAGGGGAAGAGCCAGCTTTGCTGGAGGCTAGTGGTTGGTTGAGGCTCTGAGACAGAAGGTCTGAGTACTTTTCAGTTTGCCCCACAATGAAGTCCAGGTGGAGGTCCAAGGCTTTTTTGCGCTTTTCCTCAAGCCGGGACTGTTGCTTGAATTGCACCACCTGCCACCATCATGAAAGGGACTGCTCACCAAAATAACCATGTATATACTCTTTTGTCTAACTTTAGGAAGGCCTCTTCTATCCTAGACCTTGGGCTGACCACTCAAGAAGAGCTAAATAGTTTTTAGGAGGTTTGAGATGTATAACTCAATAGTAGAGTACTTGCCTACAATGCACAAAGCCCTATGTTTGACCCTCAAAGCCACAAAAAAAAAACAAAAAGAAGAAAAACCCTTAAATAATCTGAAGGATCTCATGATTTAATAGGATACTTCTGAGGGAAGCATAAAAGGAATAGAAGGAATGGAAGAATTTAGAATTCACCAGCTCGGGATGATTTACAGATGAATCTGGAGCTATATCTTAAAACATGTGGCACTGTGGTAGCTCAGTGCACAAAAGCCCTGTTCAACCCCCAGAATAGAATAGAAAAAAAAAAGTGGGTGTTTCCTAAGTACAAATGAGAAAAGTCTTCCCAGGTGCAAAAAGATCTCGTGTAAAATGGTCAGAAAGACGTATCAAACTAAGATGAAAAAAGATTCAAAAAAAGGGCTGGGGATGTGGCTCAAGTGGTAGCACGCTCGCCTGGCATGTGTGTGGCCCGGGTTCGAACCTCAGCACCACATACAAAGATGTTGTGTTCGCCCGCTGAGAACTAAAATAAATAAATATTTTTTTTAAAAAAAGATTCAAAAAAAAAACACTGCAAGTACAATTCGGTGGCAGAGGCAGAGCAAGAACTTAGCATGCACAAGACCAAGACCTTAACTTCAATTCCCCAGCATCAGAAAAAAAAAAAAGGGCAAAAAGCAAGTCAGGCATGGTGTTGCATGATTGTAATCCTATCTACTTGGAAGGATTACAACATCCAGGCTAACTTCAGCAACTTAGAGAAACCTGTCTCAAAATAAAAAAATAAAGGACTGCGGATGTAGCTCAGTGGTAGAGTGCACTGCAGTCAGACATGATGGCACATGCCTGTAGTCCCAGCTCCTGAGTGGCTGAGATAAAAGAATCATATGAACCCATTAAGTTCAAGACCACCCTGTACAACATAGTGAGATGTCATCTCTACAAAATTGGGCATGTACTAAATTCTGAATTTGTATGTATTTCTTCATAGTTACTCTCTAAACAAAACATTGTAATCATGACTTATGTAGCATTTATGAATACATTATAAAGACTATTTTATTTATGAAGCATTTATTAATATTTCAATAATTATTTACCTAGCATTTGTGTCATACTAGTAATCTAAAAATATATTTTTAAATATTTATTTTTTAATTGTAGTTGAACACAACACTATACTTTATTTATCTTTATGTGGTGCTGAGGATCAAACCCAGGACCTTGCGTGTGCTAAGCAAGCGCTCTACCCATGAGCTACAACTTCAGCCCTAAAAATATTTTTTAAAGGACATGGGAAGATGTGGGTAGGTTATATGCAAATACTGTGGCCTTTTACATATTGGACTTGAGCATTCCCAAGTTTTGGTACCTGCAGAGATTGCTTGAACTAATTCCCTACGGATACTGAGGGAGGACAGAACTTGAAAAACCATTTACAACTTAACACACAGGCAATGGGAATTTTGATGGCATTCAAGAAAAATAAACACATATATGACATAAATTTGTTTTAGAAAAAGCATGTTAGTCAGGTGTGGTGGTGCATGCCTGTAATTCCAATGCACTCAGGAGATTGAGGCTGGAGGATCCAAAGTTCAAGGCTAAGGCCAGCATCAGCAACTTAGCTAGAACTCACATTAAAAAAAAAAAGGAAGAGGAAAGTAAAAGCATACTATAAGCCTTTCGAAGAACAAATGGGCCAAGGAGTCCTGTTAATAATCCCCAAACGCATGGCCCTTATCTTGCCACCATATTTCCTTCTTTCTCACAGCACTAAATGCTAAAAAGGCCCAATGCACAAGAGAAATGTCATTAGAGTTCCTTGAAATTATAATATTCATTCTGTCAAGGAAAGTTTTCATCATTCCTACTACCTTACCATCCTCCAACATGATCTAGGACCATTTCCTTTTTCCAATTCCCATCACTTACCTTTTCCACATTACTCCAGAACTGTCTGACATCCTTGGCCATAGTGGAAGCAATTCGGCGCAACTTTGCCTGTTCTTCCCTCCGAGCCCGTTCCTCTTTCTGCCGCTGCTCCTCGTGGTGTCGGATCACCATGCGCACCACCTAAGAATAAAGACCCAGAGTGAAAACACTCAAAGCCAGACCTCCATATCCATCCAACCAAAAGCAAAGGCCAAGAAATACAAGATGTTAGGCTTGCCTCTTAATTCTATAAGCATCAAAAAAATGTCTACACCATTCTGTTTGGCTCTCTTCCAACTACGCTACGCATTAAGGGAAAGCATACCTGAATGGAAGGTACACCCCACTGAGAACATACCTTACGGGCCACACCCCTTTTCCATCGGCGCTCCTGAGCAAAGTCAGCAGAGAGCCACTGCATCTCCTCACACAGGTAGTCCCAGTGGCCCTTGGGCCGAGGGGGCTCTGGCACCTTAGGCAACCTCTTCAGTGACCAGAAACCCTCTTTCCGCAGCTCAGCAATCCGAGTCTCAATTTCAGCTTCCTAATGAGGGAAAGTTAGGTCAACAACTCCTAGATATATAGGCCATCTCATTATAATAACTGAATTCCTGAGCACTGACTGGGCCGAGTATGCTATGCTTATATTGTGTCCATATGCCAATCTTCAGATGAGGAGAAACAAAGATCAGAGAGATTAAATGATTTGTATGAAATCATAAAACCAGATAGTAAAAGTTGGGAACCAAAAAAACAGTTCTAAGGATTACAGACAACATTTCATGTGATTTCCATTCTTTCACACAATCTCCATATCCTGTGGACAAAGGTGAAATTTGAAAAAACATACGTTTTTTCAAGCAGGGAGTATATTTCCTTCTCTCTTTCTTTCTTTTTTTTTTTTTTTGGTACTGTAAATTTAACCCAGGGCCCACTGAGTTATACCCACACCCCAGCCTTTTCTTTTCTGAGTTGAAGTTGCCGAAGCCAGCCTCAAATTTGAAATCCTCCTACTTCTGCCTCTTGAGTAGCTGGGATTACAGGCTATAAAACCATGCCTGGCTGCTTACTTCTTAACTCTAGATAAAAGGGCTCTTTATTACTGTACAATTCTATTTCCTCAGGATATGTTCAAGCTGTATTAAGATTATAAATATGGTACATAACCCAATTTACACAATCATCTTTCTGTATTTAAAGTCATTCTGGGGGCTGGAGATGTAGCTCAGTGGTAGCACTTGACTAGCACATACAAGGCCCTGGGTTTAATCCATACCACCACCCAAAAAAAAAAAAAAAAAAAGGTAAAAGCACAGTTTTATGTGAAAACACTTTTAAAAGCTACACATAAAAAGATTAACAGTGATTAAGTATAACAGAAATACAATGAGATAGTCATCATTACTAAAATTTCTACATTGATTAAATCTGTAGTAAGATAAACATTAAAACCCTCTGAAATGTTTTAATAGTGGTGGCTTAAAAAATCCAAGACAGGGCTGGGGGTTGTGGCTCAGTGGTAGAGCGCTTGCCTAGCATGTGCGAGGCCCTGGGTTCGATCTTCAGCACTGCCTATAAATAAAGGTATTCTGTGCAACTACAACTAAAAAATCAATATTTTTAAAAAAAGGAAAAAAACCTATTTCTCTAACAAGTTCCCAGGGACCACATACCACTACATAAATAAAACAAGTTGCAATACAGAAATAATAAGTACAAATAAGTACAAACCAGTGAGCATCACCATTTACAAAGCACTTTCATGTCTAATTCCTTCTTTAATTTAAACCTCGTAACAGAGCCAGGATGTAGTTGTGTGGAGGAGTACCTCTCTAGTACTCGTGAAACCCTGGGCTCAATCCTAGCTCTGCTCAAAAAAAAGAAAAAAAAGAAAAGAAAAGAAAGAAATCCCAGCAACTTGGGAGGCTGAAACAGGAGGATCGCAAGTTTAAAGCCAGCCTCAACAAAAGTGAGGCACTAAGGAACTCAGTGAGACCCTGTCTCTTAATAAAATACAAAATAGGGCTGGGGATGTGGCTCAGAGGCTCAATGCCCCTGAGTTCAATCCCTGGTACCAAAGAGAAAGAAAGAAAAAAAGGAAGGAAGGAAAGACAAAGAAGCTAGACACAGTGGTGCATTCCTGTAATCTCAGCAACTCAGGAGGCTGAGGCAGTGAGACCCTGTCTCTAAATAAAATATAAAAAAGGTCTGGGGATGTGGTTCAGTGTTTAAGCACCCCTAGGTTCAATCCTCAGTACAAAAAAATTAAAAAAAAATTCTACAGTAAATCTCACACCATCCCTATCCCTATTTTAATAAAGAAGAATGATGATGCATGCCTGTAATCGCAGCTATTCAGAAGGCTGAGGCAGGAGGAACACAAGTTCAAGGCTAGCCTGAGCAACACAGTGAGGACCCACCTCCAAAAACAAAAAAGAAAAACATGGCTTAGAATTCAAGTTCCAGAGCTGGGGTTATGGCTCAGTGGTAGTAGAGTGCTTGTCTAGTATGTGTGAGGCACTGGGTTCAATTCTCAGCACCACATAAAAATAAAATAAAAGTATTGTGTCTACCTACCACTAAAAAAAATTATTAAAAAAAAAAATTCAAGGGCTGGGGATGTGGCTCAAGTGGTAGCGCGCTCGCCTGGCATGCGTGCRGCCCGGGTTCGATCCTCAGCACCACATACCAACAAAGATGTTGTGTCCGCCGAGAACTAAAAAATAAATATTAAAAATTCTCTCTCTCTCTCTCCCCCCTCTCTCACTCTTTAAAAAAAAAAAAAAAATTCTCTCTCTCTCTCTCTCTCTCACTCTCTCTTTAAAAAAAAAAAAAAAAAAAATTCAAGCTCAAGCAATTTGCTCAAAATGATATAAATTAATAAAGAGTCCATACTAAATCCATAAGAAACAGATATACAATATACATATACCCATGGACATGGAAATTAAGAGAAGACTCCTAAAAATTCTCATGAGTTTTCTTAGTACATACATGCTTGGCCTGCTCTGCGATTTCAGCATGGCTCTTCTCCCACTTTGGGCCCCTGTTAGCCAGGTCAGCAGCCTGTGGTAAACTGAGCCCCTCCAAGGGCACTGTGGCACCATCTGGGGGGCCTGGAGGTCCATCCAGAGAGGAATCTTGAGCTATGTGCTGGGGGGAGATGCCGCCTGCCCCACTAGAGGCTGGGGAACTAGATGAGGCAGGGGACACAGGATTGCTGCCTGTCATGCCGTCCGACACCATCTAGAAAATGGAAAAATGATGAAGAAAATGAATGTACCATGTTAAATGTTTTAAGTATATTATTCTATCCCATTTTCATACAAAATTCTGGAATAAGATTATCAATCTCGTTTAAAAAAAAATTAAGATGAAATTTTAACAAGTTGCTCAAGATGGTAGTGGCAATTTTATAGTCCTATGCAATAAATCTGAGTTACCACTAAAATCAAGAGACACTAGAAAAAAACTCTTCACACTGGGGATGTGGGGTTGGAGATGGATAGTGTTCTCAAACATCTACATATTACTTTACAAAGTAATGCATAAGACACACAAAGTTCTACTAAAATATGAATCCTCAGGGAACTCATGAATTTCACTCCAACACACAAACCTTACAGTACAACAAATTCCTACCTCAGCTAAGTAACACATTTTACCAATTGCTAAAGATACCAAATACAGGGGCTGGAGTTCAGCTCAGTGGTAGAGTGCTTGTCTAGCATATGTGAGGCACTGGGTTCAATCCTCAACACTACATTAAAAAAATAAAAGTTATTTTAAAAAGAAAAGAAAAAAATGGAATACCAAATCCATACACTCCAAAAATCTACTGTTAAGGAAAAAAAAAAAAAGAAGAAAAGGCCGAGTGTGGTAGCAAATGCCTATAATCCCAGTGGCTCAGGGGGATTGTGATTTCAAAGCCAGCCTCACCAACTTAGCAAGGCCATAAGCAACTCAGCAAGACCATCCCTAAATAAAATATAAAAAAGGTCTGGGGATGTGGCTTGTGTTAAGTGCCCCTGGGTTCAATCTCCAGTACAAAAAAAAAAAAAAAAAAAACACCCTACTGTTCACAAACCTGGATCTATTGAGTCTGAAAAGTAATGCACTTGGGGGCTGGGGTTGGGCCTGGGGCTTGGTGGTGGTGAATTTGCCTACCACGTGTGAGGCGCTGGGTTTGATCCTCAGCACCACAAAGAAATAAATGGATAAAATGGAGGTGTTGTATCCATCTACAACTACAAATTTAAAAAAAAAAAAGGTAATGCTTTTTTCCTACCCTACACGCTTCTTTGGTATCAGAAAAGAGTAAATGCCACACATGAGACTTTACTCTTTTCTAGTTCCCAAAGAGGTCAAACCACTGGTAAAGCACACAGTCTTGAAAGCATGAAGCCCAACCTCCATTTCCCGCCTGGCCTAACTCAACCTTTTTCAGGTAGTATAGAGCTCTGCCCTCTTGGAGGTCAATACTGCATTAAAATGTGAGTATCCAACAGGATTAACATACTACAGCCCAGTCCACCTGAATGAGCACCAAAGATTCTCCAGACTCAGCTACTTGGGTAGCTAGGATCTGCCACATTTCTTCTGCCTCAAAGCCAGCAGTCCACAAAGCAGAAGCAGAAAAGGAACCCTCTCCATTTTCAAACCTGTGTATGTAGGACTGGGAGCTGAGGATGAGCAGAGGAGGGGCTGCTCTGCATGGTCCCACTCCCAGGCTCCTTGTTGGATGCCTGAAGAATGACTGGGTCGTTATCACCACTGCTGCACGCCGAGGGGATGGCGTCCGGCTGCAGGGCATGCTGGGAGCTGGCCTCATTCTGGGCCACCGGCCACCGGGACCCACCTTCCAGGGCCCGGGGCCCACCAGGGCGTCCCAGTCTCCGCTCAGGTCCACCAGCCTCTGGAGCACCTAAAGTTGAGTAAAAGAGAGGTAAGAAAGTTTTTTAAATCTTTTTTTAAAAGCCAGGAAAATACAGTCCTTATAGCTTATGTTTCTTAAGCATTTACTATTTCCGTCAGATATTTTATAAAGCATCTGTTTGATGTGTTCTAAAATCTTCATATCTTCCTTTTGAATCAGGTGCCTTTCATAACATAAATATTTATTTCCTTCTATACACTGAAAACTTGAGAATAAAGCCATAGAGAAAAGATCCCTGACCTAAATGGAAGTTATGCTCCAATGTTATATCTTTAGGAAACAAGGATACAGATCAAATGACTTAAATAAAGTCATACATTAAGGAAGCAGCAGAATTAAATCCAGGTAGTCTCATGCCAAACCCATGGAGAACTTGCTACTCTAACTGGTGAAGCCAAGGTGACCAGATCTTCCTCTATCCACAGCCCCAGCTCTGTTGTTGGACCACTATCATCAAAAACACTAAAAAAAAAAAAATCACATGCAAATATCCCCATAGTTCTGCAGAGCAAAAATTTACAAGTATTAACCTGCAATTTCTTGCACCATCTCACACATTTCTTTCCTTTAGCATGTGTACACAAAATGGTATCTGAACCCTCACCTGTGTGAGCTGAGACCACACCCCCTGTTAAAGTCTGCACTTCCACGGTGCTGCCGTACTGAGGGGAATTACACCTAAAATAGAAGGGGAGAACAGCAGCAGTAAGGAAACAATTCACATTTGCCAACATCCTCCAAAAGCTTATTTTTACTCCAGCTTTTTAAGGCTTTTAAATATACCCAAATCAGTTCTTGAAGTAGTAGAAAACTCAGAAAAATAAAAGCAAGTTATGTTTCATACAAAACAGAATTCCTTAGGGAATAAAATACGGGATGGGAAGTAGGAACAGGGAAGAAGCAAAAAAAAAAAAAAAAGGTTAAAAAGTTTAAAAGTAAAAGCTCCAATCATGGAATGAAAGCAAACAAAAGTAGCTGTCACATCCAGAAGCTCAAAATGATGCTGCTTTTTCAGTGAACTGAACAAACCAGGAAAATGAATGGAATTCTCAGTGAATAAGCAAACATACTGGCAACAAGATCTACTCAGGATTTAAGACCCATCCTGAATCTTATACACTTCCCCAGAACCTAGAACTATAGCAAGATACTTAGGAAGCAATAGGATGTGAGAAAGGCTCACAATGAAGAACCATGCTCCGGAAACAAGCAAAGTAAACCCCCAAAAGTCCCGGAAGTGTCATCCCCCCCCCCCCCCGTGTTTAAGGAAATTCCTTAACCTCGGTGCCTCTTTTGATTCAGTCCCTCCTCCACAACAGATTCCCAGGACCCAAGTTAACCAGACTCCAAGAAGCCTGAACTCTTGACCCCAGTGTTCATTACCATCTTCCAACCCCTCCCAGCAGACTGACCCAGCGTGACCCCTGACCTCTGCCCAAGTTGCCACTAGCCCTGATAGCCCCGCCCCCTCCTCGACTCCCACCCCACCCAACGTGCGCGCCAGACTGGGGGAGGGGCCCGCGCGTGCGCGCCTGGAGGCGGAGCGAGCCGGCAGCGCGCACGGCCCGGGGGCTCCCGCCAGAACCCAAACCCACGCACACAAGGGTCGCAGGACTGGAAAGTCCCTCGTCCACGCCCGTCAGGGAGCACCCCCCCATCAATAGACTGCGAAAAGCTGAGAGGTGGGAGGGTTCGTGCCACCAGGCCCTGGTCCAATGACTGGATATGGTGGGCGCGCGCCCCGACCACTCGTCCCACGCCCCCCTTCCTCTTCCCGCGCGCCCCTGAGGGGGCACTGGGTTGGTGGGCGGGCAGGAGCGCACCTGGGTCCGTCCTCTCAGGGCTTGCTCGCTCAGGCACGCGTGCGCAGAAGAGCGGGAGAGGAGAAGAGACGCGCTGGGGCCCAGTGCTGGCCGGACAGGCCCCCTCAGTCTGTCTCTATGGGCGCGCGCCGACAGCCTCGCGCACCGGCCCCGGGGCCCCGGCTGAAGGTGCGCGCGCAGCACCCCGGGAAGGTGGGAGGGAGGCGGTGGCGGAAAGATGCGCGCGCAATCACCCGTCAGGGGAGGGGGAACTGCGGAGCGTCCGCCATCTTGTCTCCCTCTCCTTACCTGCGTCCTCGGGGGCGTGTGCACCACCCCCCCTCCCGCCAAGGAGGGGGGAGGGCCCCCTCTTGGCCGCCGCCTTCACAGCCTTTAAATTCCCTTGGGGACCGCGGCTATTGCCACCGCTTGTTTCCACTGCCTCTTCTCACAGCACAGAGATGCGGGCAGTGGGTTGGAAAAAAGGGAGATGCTACTCCCAGCGAACCGCCGCCGCCGCTCCCGAGGCCTCACCAAAATGGCCGCCACCGTCTCGGCCGCCACCACCACCACAACCACCACTGCTCGCTATCGCTACCGCCGGCGCGGCCCGTCGTCTCGCGAGAGACAGTAACTGGAGGTTGGGGAAACGAGAAGCCTCGCGTTCTATAGCGCAGGGCGCAGCCCGATGCGCAAAGCAAGCTGGGAGATGTAGTCCCCTCGAGGCTCCGCGTTGGCCGGCATTCATCCGAGCTTCTCAAGACGCGCTGCTGAAGCTTTTTGGGGCTGCATTGCGGCTTCCAACTCCGACCACCGTCATCTCCACTCACTTTTTTAAAAAACAGATCCCCCAGTGAGATACAGCAAGTTAGCGAAACTAAGTCCTCCTAACTTTTATGGAAGCCTTCTTTTAACAGCTGTTCCTTAAATGTCAGAATAGTTTACCCATAGCTCCCCATTAGCACCTATGTCATTTGTTCGCAAACTTTCTAGGTTAAGAACCCTTTGAAGATCTGATAACCTCACCCCGGAATAGTACAATAACAGCTACCTTCAAGTGAGGCTATTTTGTCTCTTTTAATAGCAACATTTCTTCAAACAGATCTCCATTTTACAAATGAATTGAGACTCAGAGTTTAACCACAGCGACATAGCCCAAAGCCAACACTTGTAGCCAAACACGATCTCACAAAATTTTACTACCTTGGGAGACCAGGTTAGGAAACCCTAAAAAAACTTAATTCGACTCTTCCTTTTCATACAGTTTAGCCCTTCCCTGTGAAAAAGATATTGTTGGTTCCTTTTACAGATGTTTTAGTTGAATAAAAAGTGAATGATACCCGTCTTTTTTGGGGGGGAGGGGGTGCTGGGGCTTGAACCCAGGGCCTCTGGCACACTCTACCTCTAAGCTACATTGCCAGCAATGCCCATCTTTATAGACCTCCTCCCATTACACTTACAAGAGAGGACGTCAGGTAGAGTCTGAGTGAGTTGGACTTAGCCTTGTGCTACTAATTCCTTGTTAGTAACCTTGAGCATTTCACTTCACTTCTCTGATCCCCAGTTTCCTGATCTATAACATGGGGGTAGAGTCTCTGATGTAAAATTACTTGAAAGCCCCAAAGAACCTTCTGAATGCAGAATGTTTTTAGGACCTCTATTTCAAAGTCTTAAACTTACAGTATATGCTTTAAATAGTTTGTGTGTGTGTTCTGCAGTACTGGGGATTGAACCCAGGGCTTTGCACATAATAGGCATTATGTGCCTACCACTGAGCTACATCCGAAGTCCTATACAGTGTTGTTTTTTGTTTATCTGTTTGTTTGTTTTTTGGTACTGAGGATTGAACCCCCGGGGAACTTAACCACTGAACCACATCCCCAGCCCACTACACAGTGTTTAAATGTTCTCAGTATTAGCAGAAGTTCCAGGAGGAGAATAAGGTCTCCAACTTACTTGCACCTCACCATTCCCAATTCCTCTGCACTGGGCAACTTAACACATTTGTCATATCTGTCAAATTTGGCTCTTTTTTTATTGCTTTTATTTTTTAAATACATGACAGCGGAATGCATCACAATTCTTATTTCACATATAGAACACAATTTTTCATATCTCTGTTTATAAAGTATATTCCCACCAATTCATGTCTTCATACATGTACTTTGGATAATGATGTCCATCACATTCCACCGTCATTGCTAACCCCCTGCCCCTCCCTTCCCCTCCCACCCCTCTCTGTGTGGCTCTTGAAAGCAGTGGAATTTGCATCATCTCTTGCATATGGATGTTGGTGAGCACACTCTCCTGAATAGTATTTCCTCTATGCCATTTCATGTCATACTCTCTGCTGGGTGCACTGACAAAGACAGGAAAGAAGATGGCACAGTCCTTGCTCTCAAGAATTTAATCTTGCAGGGTGTGTTGGTGCACACCTATAGTCCCAGCTACCCAGGAAGCTGAGACAGGAAGATTGCTTGAGCCGGGAGTTAGAGACCAGCAACATAGCAAGACTCCAGCTCAAAAAAAAAAAAAAAAAAAAGATTACTTGTTCTCATTTGGGGATGAGCCGTGAGCTTGGTAAAAATCATGGCAGAATGTTCTGCTATGTCAGGAGAAGAGTTGTTAAAGAACTCACCAAAGGTTGGGTTGGATACTCAGACATTAAGAGGGCTGGGGTTGTGGCTTGATGGTAAGGCACTTGCCTAGCAGGTGTGAGGCACTGGGTTCAATTCTCAGCACTGCATATAAATAAATGAATAAAGGTTCATCAACATCTAAAAAAAATTTTTTTAAGGGTTGGGGTTCTGACTCAGTGGTAAAGTGCTTGCCTAGCACATGTGAGTCACGGGTTCAATCCTCATCGCCACATAAAAACAAATAAAGGTATCGTGTCCATCTACAACCAAAAGAATTGAAAAAAAAAAAAAAAAAAAGATGTTAGGGAAGTCACTTGGACCCAGATTGGTAAAGACCCAGCACGTATAGGTTAGGTATGGGCCTTTTGGAATGAGAAGGAACTACTGAAAGTTGTTGAGCAGGGGATTGGCCAGGTTAGAGATCCACTTTACAAAGACTAATCTAACAGGATGGCTGTAAGAATACCTGAATACCTGAAGGCTGGAGATGGGGAGGTTGTGAACATCACCCAGTGTAATGGAAGCCTTTTGCCAGGAGGTGGCAGTGGAGATGGGGAAAAGAGAAAGGAAGAATTAGAACTTGGCAATGACGGCCCTGTGAAGAGCATACCCCTTGCCTTCTCTGAAGCTGGCCTTTCCCAAGCTTCTCCTACCTTCCTGGCTTGGACCCCCTCCATCAATTGTTGGGGTGCCTAAGGATTCTTTCCTCAATTGCCGTCTCTCATCCAGTGTGTTCTCAAAGACAGAGGTAAATAGCCTGAAACTAATGAAGTTTCTGGGACTCTCACATGGACCCTTCATTCATGAGCTAGAAATGGCGGGAGGTTATTAAAAAACATCTAGGTGAGGTAGGGAAGCCACATTGTAACCAGAAAGCACTTGCATTGTAAGCATTTCTGCTAATTTGTCTAAAAACATCTCAAAAGAAAAGAACACTAATCTCTAAGGCTCCCATAATTTATCATATTCTTGTGCATTCTAATTACCATCTGATAAGCAAAAGACTCCCAAGAATTATTCCCAGCTTAGAACTTGGGTTCCCTGATATAATCATACTTCACTGGGCATACTGAAAATTGAGGTTTGTAATGGTAACCTGGAGTCAGTCAAAAACTCTGCAATGTACTGAATCATCACATAAAGATTAATATTGTTCAGTGTTCAAAAATCAAACTTGGATTCTCCTCTGTCTCCTGTATTCCTCCTACAGGTGGCCACCTAAGAGCCTCTGATTCACATATCCAAATGTGAACTTATGATCTGAAACACAAAACCTGTTCTGCTTCACCTCTTCATCATTTATCTGATTGCTCATACTAGAAAAGCTAGAAATGGCCAGGCATGGTGGCCCACACATGTAATCCCAGTGACTTGAGAGGCTAAGGGAGGAGGATTGCAAATTAGAGATCAGCTTCATCAATTTAGCAAGGCCCTAAGCAACTTAGTGAGACCCTGTCTCAAAAAGTAAAGGGCTAGTGGGGCTGGGGATGTGGCTCAAGCGGTAGCGCGCTCTCCTGGCATGCGTGCGGCCCGGGTTCGATCCTCAGCACCACATACCAACAAAGATGT